GAACACAGCATGCTCCAGTGGGTCACCTGGAACTATTTCTTCGTCCTCACTGTCGACTAATGGATTCACTAAAACTGATTTCCGCTTTTTAATCGAACCGCTTGTTGAAGCTGCTGGTGGATTATTAGTTCTCACCTTGACGCTCGTAGACGGAAGACAGGTCCGCTTAATCTCCGTAGTCTGTGTTACCAAGCAACGTCTATTCAATAATATCTGGATGTCCGGATACTACCCTATCATAGCTGCTACACGTAGAAATTGAATGCATTGAAAATTCTAATTAATTGCACTTAAACTATTCAAAAAGACGCCTAGCTCTTGAGGGATATCCTTTGTTTGAGCCAACTTTGATGGCTTACCCATGACGTTTCTAGAGGCCGCTATTGCCACAGTGGAGTTCTGATCTAAATGCTTTTCGCTGCAGTTTATAATCCACCTATCTGGAATAAGACTTTGAATATCCCAATTAATCAGATCGAATACCCTGGCTATATGCAAGCAGGGCAACAACCATTGCGCATAGAAATAACACTCGCACTTCGTTTCCCCTGCAGTAACTACTTTATAAACCTTGCCCTTACTATCCACGAACACGAAGAACCCTCTCTCGTGAACAATTCGTTCAATCTTACATGACTTCCAGTTACTTAATAGTATATTCCGCGCAAATGGTGTTACTCGTATGAGCAACGGTTTAAACGACTGCATGCCGCTGGGTGTCGGATACCCCTCATGGAATCTTTATCAAGGCGAATCCCATGCGTCAGTTCCAGTGACCTTACTGGTTGTAGCACTTCCTTAAATACATTCACTGATGAAGACCAAAGGGACAAGCCTGTTTTGAGGTGCCTATTTTCCGTCTCCACTCGGTTGGTAGTAAGGTTCCCTAAAGTCAACCTAGTCCTCGCGGCATACCCTACCCACTGCTCTCGGTATGGTAACCAAGTTCGGCGTAAATAAACACCTGCTTCTGTGCTACGGCTTTCTACGGCGGCTGGGAATCTACGAAACGATATCTCACTATGACAGTACACCATGTTGCGCATCCATTGAAAGATGCGCTGCTTTTCGAACGTTGGCATACCAGATAGCTGGTTACATTTCTTCTTCATATCCTTAACGAGATGGAAACGACAAAACACCACATTAGATGACGGAAAGTATTTTGAAAGCGCGTTGTACTGATCCAAGCTACGATCAACTACTGTAGTCTTGCATTGTGCAAAGACTGGCCACAGATTTCGTGGCTTCCACAGCAGATCTATAGCTCTCATCGCTCTCATTCCGCAAGATAGCGTAGAAGAAACTTCTATCTGAAGCGGTGTCGTCTACAAGCATAACATGCCAGAGCACATGCTCGCCACCATTTAGCTGATATTTGGCAACCGCTAACAAAACATCAATAAACCTGGCGACGCAGTGCAGCATACTCTTAGGAACAAAATAAATGTGACGAACGATGCCTTCGTTCAACCCTATCCTAACCTCTCTATGATTCTCCAGCATATCCCTAACTTTCACCGCATCGCCACGTGAATCCGAAGGAGACCTTCTTCGACGTATGGATCTTATATCTGCCGTAGTCAAGGGTCAGATNACGAGGATTACTTATATACAGACCCCGCTGACCCATGTGGAAGTCATGGTTGTGCACCGGACAACGTTTCGTCACTCGGTACTATTTTCCGACCGCGTGAATTCCAACGAATTCCGGACAATCATTTTTCAGCCTATAATGGGTTAAATACATTAGAAATGAGAGATATAATTACCTGGTTGCAGTTGCTCCCCGCCTTATATGCTGTACACAGCAATATTTGATGAAATATTACGGAAAACCCTCAGGCAGAGTCAGTTTCCGACCAAACTTTCTTTCCCGTGTCAGTAGTTTGGCTGTCATTGACGCACAAACGTAGAAAGAAGTGCAAGTTGCCCTTTGGAATTCATGGAAGTCCTCTAAGAATCCGTCCAGCGATCCATAGCAATTTTTTACCATTCGTTCAAAATCGACCGTATCGTCAACATGAGCCATGGTTGATATCAGTGTGGAAGTGATCGTCGCCATTAGGATTCGGTATTTATACTTTCCGTACAAAGTTATTTAAGATTGAGTGAAACGAATTAACTTTTAGGAAATCACCCAGTACCAGCTTAAAGCAAAATCCGTTCCATTTCGGTTGAATTCGACCTCGCTTTTTCTAAAATACATTAAAAATCGCTCGTCTTTAGAAATCCTAATAGTTGGGATGGCACGCCACTACGACTCTGTACACATTACTGAAGTATGCACAGAAGGCATCTACCTTTTCCTGGTCATTGATAACAGTCTCACCTGTCGAACATAGAGGTCTCATCATCCTTATATTGGAGTATTTGGCTTGAGCATATCTGTAGTAGCGTTTTGGCTCCTTCTTGGTTCGGCCGGCTAGTTTCACCTCGTAGTCCCTTTTAAACTTTGCAATGTGAGAACTACTTTGTTACGATGCCTCGTGTACCGTCTCCAAGCCAACTGGGAATTGAAAGATGGAAAAGCTCTCCAGCTTCAATTTCTGCGTTTTATCGCCCTACCTGCAGCAGCGTGCCACCATGGCGGTTCTTTCCTTGATTCTATGTGGATTAAAGCAGCAGCGATTACTACGGTGGCCTGATGGTAACTTGCAGAATCCAGTGGTAGACTATAGACTGACCGTTCATTCATTCGGAGCGGTTTCTTCTCCCTTCTGTGCGAACTACGCACTCCGGCAGACAGCTTCGCAACACGGACACAACTTCCCAGCATCGGTGTCAGCTAGCGTCGCGAATAATTTCTATGTCGACGACTTCCCGGGCGCCTTTGAAGACTCAAGCAAAGCCTCTCAACACGTGATGCAGCTCAAGTGTTTACTGGAGAAAGGGGGGTTCCGTCATACCAAGTGGTTGTCTAATTTACGTTTATTCGTTAAATATGCATGCTCCGCGGACAGAACGAGTGATACGCCGGTTCTGTGTTTTCATGTTTCTTTAAGTTCCGAGAACAGATGATCCGAAAGAAAAATATTAAAAGTATGAAGTGAAAATTTGAAAAATAGCATTACTCTGTCTCTCCTCCGTAACCGTTCTAGCAAATATACAAGGGTGGGCAAATACATTTACTTTTGTGCTCTAGTAAATACTTGCGTTCACTTTTTCCTTCGAAAATGCTTCTCGCGAATTTTACGGCAAACTATCTAAAGTTGGATTGACGACCTCAAGATATGCATGACACAAAAGGACCATTGTCAGGTGAAACCAGACAGGGAGAAGACTGTTCATTTGAGCAGGAAAGTTAACATCAGTTTGGCCAATATCAATAAAAAGGTTGGGCCCCAGAATTGTGTTAATTTGCGCGGTCGGTTCATCACATACCATTAAAAGGGCAGCAGTGATCAGCCCTAGTACGATTCTTAAAATACTTATTTCAGAGTTACTGAACTGAACATTAGGCATACTCAAGAAGGACTCCAAAGCCTATCTGTGAATTTACGACGGTAACCACAGTATTACAGAATCATCGCATCACCAGTCAAGTTAAAACTTGTCTCTCGGTAGTGTCAAAAATTCAGTTTAAAGAGCATCAGCCCTGCATTGTACCACGATTAACTTGATCACCACGTCTAAGTGCTAAGCGACTTTCTTGTGGTATTAAAGCAATTCGACCTCCTCAAGCAATGAAATAGGAAACGAACATGAATTCAGAGCGATCAGGTGGGTATTTTGTACTCAAACCAGAAAAAGAAATAGCCCAAGCGCACAAGAAAACGAATCAACAACGGAGTTCATTGGTAAAAAAACATTTCCCCGACAATAAAATCTACCCCATCAGTAAAC